GACAAAAGCCATTATATTTGTCTTTGACTAAATAAATAACTGATATGAAATTTCATCTTTTCTTTGTTTAGTTAACATTAAGTGCAGATTTTAAACTGAAAATGTTTCAAACAGCATTTCCTCAAATGTATTCAAGAACATTACCTCTTTTATACTGAATTCCTACTTCAGTAATGAATATAGGAAGCTGGCTTGTACTGAACCAGACTGCTGGTGTTCCTAGCTTAGCATTAGCTGATGAGCTGTAGCTTCCCAGGATTTAGGATGGGACAGTTTTTCAAACCTTCCTGGAGTTGCAAGGAATTAAACTTGGTAATATATGCTGAAACACCAAACTTGTGGTTCTCCCTATTTTACTAGAAAATACAAAATGTAGCTCTGATTCAAAAAACATATGAATTCATCAAGAAACAGCCTATATTCAACTAGATATCTGTGTGCCCTGCCAGCTGGCGGAGGTTGGACACGATTGGAGGCGGATCCGGACTGCAGTCTGGAAGCATCTCTGTGCCCGCTGGTTTCCTCTGCCCCCCCCCCCAGTTTGGGCACTGGGGCCCAAAAAGGTTAGCCATCACTGGCCTAGGGATATCTGTTCTATTATATCATCATTTATTCACTTGGTTACAATATTCTCTAAATATAATTGAGTTATTATACCTTTAAGTCACTTCCAAAACAACATTTTAATTATCATTTTTAATGTTAGCCATTCTGCACAATAAAATGCCTTAAAAATATCTAATGAAATTAGATATTGTTTAATATTCTCCTAAACAAATCTGCCATTTGTCTTTCTATTATAAAGCCACTTTGATCTTCTTTAATATACTTAGCAATAAAATATTCATCATCCTAACTAATATTGCTGTAATATTGCATCTTGATTTATTGACAATGTTGGTCTGTAAGCTCCAGGGTCAGTTGTTGTTGTTGTTGTTGTTGTTGTTGTTGTTGTTGTTGTTGTTGTTGTTGTTGTTGTTGTTGTTGTTGTTGTTGTTGTTGTTGTTGTTTGCTTTGGGTATTAATGCAATTAATTAATGCTTCCAAGATATTAAAATATCTTCTCCATTATTTTATTAAAAAGGGACTAATGGGCTTCTAAAAGATTTGTAATACTTGGGCTCTAATCCATCTGTTCCTGGAGTCTTTCCTATTTTTAATTTATTAATAATATCTTTCATCTCCACTTCTCTAACTGTTCCATGAAACCTCTATCCATATCTTGAAGTCTACTCCCCAAATTTTTCTCAATATGTTCTCTAATTCTCCCCAAAGAGAGCTTATTCCTGTTGCATAATATTTGAAAGAAATTCTGAAAAACTTCATTTATCCTTCATCAGATTACACTTTTTACCCATTTCATCTTTAAGCACTCGTGTTAAACTCTTAGCTTTTTTAAAAGCTGTATGGATCTAGTCAATATTCTTAATACAATGGTGCCCCACTAAACGCTTACCCCGCTAAACAACGAAATCGCTTGATGACGACTTTTTTGCAATCGCTATAGCGATCGCAAAACGATGGTTCCAATGGTTTTTTTCCACTGGACGTGGAATAGGCCCGTGCTTTGCAAACTCTTTGTTCGCAATATGACAGTTTTTACAACATTGCAAAATGGCTTCCCACACAATATGACAGTTTTTACAACATCGCAAAATGGCTTCCCACTCTTTTCTGACCCATGCTTTGGAAGACAGCCATTAAAAACAGCTGATCGGTGCTTAGAAAATGGCTTCCCTATGGAGGATCTTCGCTGGACAATAAGATAATTTCCCCATTGGATCGCATTAACCGGTTTTCAATGCATTCCAATCGGGATTTTTTTCTGCATGACAATGATTTCGCTGTACAACAGTTTCAGGGGAACGAATTATCGTCGTCATGCGGGGCACCACTGTACAGTACTAAATTTTAAAGAAATCAAATATAATATATTCCTCTGAATTTTTTTCCAGTTCAGTATTCTCCAACTCTTTTCTTTTTGCCTTTGTTTCCATTAAAATCTTTATATCTCTGCTTTTTATATTTCATTTCCAACAATCTTATTTATTCTAGAGTCTTTTTGATGTTTTTCCTTTTGTCTTTTTAAACTATATGATCAACAGTTTCATTGTGTGTCAAATACAATGAATACCAGACTAGCATTCCTGCGTTCAGAGGAGCCGAATACCATCTGCCGTCTACAGGTCACTGTGTGAGGGACTGTGGCTGGGCTGCTGCTGGCTGCCAGTTTCCCTTAGGGAACTGGCTGAGGAATAAGCTGGGAAAAGGGGGGGGTAGGGGGTCTCTGGAGCAACCAGTAGAGACTATATATGGCAGAGGAAGATATGGCGTTGGGAGTAGAGCATGCTCACATAGGAGAACGGAGGTTAGATACCTTATACCTATCCCCCTTTCTAGCTCTACTCCCAGCCAAACGGTACTAGGTGGCCATATCAGCCACCCCCTGGGCCACATGGTACTGTTTGTAAATGGCAGGTCGGCAAAAAATAAGACTGCCCTCATCCATGATTTAATTTTGGATGAGGGGGCTGACTTGGCATGCATTACTGAGACCTGCATAAGAGGAGGAGTTAATTTATCTCAGTTGTGTCCCCCTGGGTACTTGGTCCAACAGCAGGGTCACCCGGAAGGTCGGGGAGGTGGTGTAACGATAGTCTCAAGGAAATGCTCTCCCTCTGGAGATCAGGCTGGCCCCCTCTCTTTTATCCTCCTACCAACATCTGAAGACCCATCTCTTCAAATAGGCTTTTAACAATCATAACTGAGTCCCTGAATGCCTTTTAAATTTTTAGCTAAGATAGTTTTTAATGTTTCTTTGTTTTTGATTATTCAATTGTATTTTAATTAGCATATAGTGTAATTGTTCTTTTAATGTTTAACTTACTATGTTTTAATTCTATTCTTTTTAATATTATGAGCCACTGTGGATTCCCTTCTCAGGAGAAAGGTGGCCTATAAATAAAACAAAGACAAATATTTCCATCATTCATTTTCGAGTTTATTATGTTTTTCTGCTGAAAAATACTTGTATCTATCCTCCACCTTTTGTCTTCTCTAATCACATTTCACTTTAATATCCATATTCAATAAAGCACGATCACTTACTTTTATAATACTGTACCTATTCCCATATTAATCACTCTCAAAACCAAATCTTTAGATATATAATCTATAATCCTAGAATAAATTTTATACAGCATCAGAAAATTCCTGCTGGCTCCCATGGGTTGGTCTTCTTGACAGTGACTCACTATAGTCTTTTACTTTTTAATTCAGTGTTGAATTAGCCATGTAACTTTTATCTCCTGCACAGATGGGCCAGTTTTACTATTCTGCAAAAGCCTTTGATGTCCTGGAAAGACTAGATCCTAACCCTGAATACTGGGAGGGCAAAAGGGGTGCCTGTGTTGGCATCTTCCAGATGATCGTTGCTAATAGAGAACCCAAGTATGTATACAGAATGTCTTGATATTTCTGTTTCTGTCAATTTAAACTGTTATTGCACCAAAATCTGTTCCATGTTTATACCAGGTACAAGAAAGATAAATATAGTTTTGAGCAATTAATGAGCAAACTCTTACAAAGAGATTTTTTTTCTTAAAACATTTATTGGGTTCAAGATCCCCTTGACTATATTTGTAATGAAAAAAGAAGTGATGGTTGTTAATTTCCAGTGACATTTTGTCTAGTTCCGTTCTTAGTTTACACCTTTTGTAGTGTACTTGAGTAAACAATTTGTTCAAAATTGCTTCAGCATGCCCTTTTAACCAGAATGAGCCTCCAGTGGTTTCAAAGGCTCTTCGACAAATGGGTGGATTCCTTTTATTCATAGAACATCAATTCAATCCAAATTATAATCTTTAATCAAAATATCCTTTGTCTACTTACAAATTTGTCAGTGTGCTGTTTTTCTATGGTACATTTTGTTTAAACATAATAGTTTCTGCTAGAGTTATTTCTGTTTAAGTTAACTTTAATGTGGAGTGACATGTCAAGATGATTGGTTGCTTTCAAGACAGTAGTGTAAGGGGAAGCCAAATCTTTAAATGGCAAAATGTTTAAATTCATTTGAACATGACTTAAGGACAGGATTCCAGGCTTTGCAGGTGTGGAATCAAAATGGTTCCAGCATTGCTTGTCTTTCAGAGTAACAGTATGTGTACAATGCTTAATGTACTCAAAGCACAGATAAGAGGCAGCAGATTAAAAAAACCTTTCAAGTAAACAGACATGCCTGGGAGATTAAAACTGGCACGTTAACAGACAAAATGCATGCCATCAATTTTAGTGCAAGCAGTGGAAGGTCATTTACCAAGGGTCAAAGTGGGCTTTTCTTGGAAGACAGTTTCAGAGTCTGGGCACAGCTATATGTAATTCTGTCTCCCATAATCCAGATAAAAATATCTCAGATGCCAGTGAGTTGTGGAGAAGAGCCTCTGTAGATGATTTTAGCTGGCACCTATATTCTGTAACAGTTGCAATTTCCAAGCCGGCAGCTCCACATAAGAATGCTGCCCACACAAACAGTGCTGTAATAATCCAATCTGTATGTAATGTGGAATTAAGGGTACATTTGCTTTCTTCGTACAAGACCAAATTTTGCAGTTTAGCTAAAAGGTGCTCCCAGTTATTAATGTTACCTGGACATCAATATACAGTAGTGGATCCAGGAGCACCAAAAAACTGTATCTGTTTTGTTTGTTTGTTTGTTTTAGATTATATAAGTCTATCCAGAATAGTTTGCATACTCTTTCCCAGATGAGTATGATTTCCAGCTATTGGTGCCTCTTCCTTTTATGGATTCTTAATTATCATCCTGAATAAATCTCCATCTAGTTTTACTAACATAAGAAGAACTATGCAAGAGCAGATCATCTGGTCCAACATTCTGTTCTCAAATAGGCCGGCCAAAAGCTTATGAAAAGTCCACAAGCAGAATATGAATGAAATAGCACCTGCCTATTCATGTTCCTCATAAACTGATACAGAGAAGCATATTATTTCTGATACTGGGAACTATATAAAGGAATGTGTACTGAAGTAAATATAGCCGGTAGTTATTGACACCTTTCATGAAGTCATTTAACCTTTTTGTCGTCCAGAACTGTATTGCAATTTATACATGAGTAAGTGACAGTGCATAAGTGGTGGCAATAAATTGCCACTGCTTTAACAAGGTAATGGTTCTATTTCTGATCATGTGCCTGTTACACAACTAAGTGTGCAATCAAAAATATGACCAGCACTTCATTAATTAGGAGCAACTCACTCCTGAAACATCAGTTTTTTTGTTTATGGTTGTGTTAATCACGGGTCCCTAACCCCCAGTGCGTGGCCCGCTGCCGGTCCATGGCCTTTGCAGGACTGGGCAGATCTCCTCCCCCCCCCGTATGCACTCCTCCGATGAACACCCACATGTACGCACGGCCTGCACGCATGGGTGCCCTGCCCACCAGCACATACACGCAAGTGCACCATGCTCACCCATGAGCATGCCCCGCCCAACCGTGAGCACTCCACACTCACCTGCACATGGGTGCGAGTGTGCCCCACTTGCGAGTGTGCCACACCCATATGCACATGTGTGAGTGCACCACGCCCACCTGCAAGCATGCCCCGCTCACCCACAAGCAGGGGGTGCCCCCCGCGCACAGACCATGACACCCAACCAGTCCACGGTCCTGAAAAGATAGGGGACCACTGGTGTAAATCACCAGTAGGATTCCATTCTTAATGTTGCCCAAGTTGGCAGCCAACTTGAGTCAATTGGCTTCAAGTGTACACTTTTGCCAGTGTAATATCCAAATCATTTTACATTGTAGTTGAATTTCCATTTGAAAATAAATTTACAATCCTAAAGTTTCTCCTGTTTTCTGGATTATCTCGGTATCTTACAGTTTTACTTAACTAGCTATTCACTAACTGATGGTGTCAGTTTTATATATCTTGCCTCACTTCCTCTCATGGTCATCTACAGCTTCTCTTTTCATCATGCCCTGACTATATATATCTAGTAATAGTACAAGTACACCTTGAAGCTTTGATAGTAAAAATTTGGTTTAAAATTGTCAATTTTTCTGGTTTTATCCTCATTGCTCTTTGTCTTTTCTTTTTTTCAGAGACACCCTAAGGGAGGTGTTGCACCTCCTAAGAAGTACGGGTAATCCACAGGTAGAGTATATTGTTCGTATAATAAAGAAGTGGGCAAAGGAAAACAGAGTCCCCCTTTAAAAGAACATCACCAGAAACTGCCCTGCTATACCAAGTTGGAGTAACATGGTGTTTTCTATTATGAAAAAGTAACACTCTGAAGAGTTCTGTATTTCTATCTCACCATTTTAATCAAAGTTGTCGGAAAACCATATATTTATGTGGAGTATCTCACTGTGACTTCAGTTATACAACATGTCTCAGGTCCCATTTTGTTTCTACTACAACTCCTAGCTTTCAGCTGTTTCAGGTGTGTGCCTTTAGCAGTACTTGTACTGAGACAACTGGCAAACTGGCCTGTACTGTGTACTACTGAGCCATAGCAGAGCACAAAATATACTTAAGATCTGCAAATCACATTTACAGAACTCATCAGGAACAGCATTTCTGAATCATTACAAAAACTGGAAATGGCACATAGTAAGAATGTAATATGATCTGTTTTTTATTTTTATGGCCTGATGCACATTGGAGGCAAACCTATGCAGAGAATAGTCTGTTTCTAGCAGCATCGTGTACTGTTCTCTTTGCCTTTCCACAATATTTTCCTTCTGTTTAAAGCATGGTTGCAAATCTTATGATGCTAAACTGAAAGGCACCTGCTTTGCCCTTGCAGATGCTTGTAAGTAGTTTCAAAAAGGGAGTCCTTTTGGAGAATGTATTGTTTAATTACTAAATAAATATTGTAAATAGACACACAAGAAAATTCATAGTACATACACATTATAAAATGCATAGCACACACTATGTAAAATTTGTATAAAAATAGATCAGTTGTTTTTCATGCTGTCCATTCTTTAAAGAAGAGGTTTGTAATCAGCCCCAAACTTTAATTATGGGGTGAAATCCAAAAAATAAAATAACTTATGAAACAATTCATTATGCATTATGTCTAATGCTTTGTAAAAAGAAGATTCAACCTCTAAGTTGAATATATGAATAAACTGAATACTATATTGATATATATCATGACAGTTTCATTTGCTGAAAATAGAACAATGGAACAAGCAATACATAGGTAAAGATAATACCAGACTTCCTTTGTTTTGGAAACTATACAATAGAGAAATGTGTTTTTAAGGTAATTTTTTTAATAGCTATGTTTTGCTTTGCCTTCATTTTTAAAGAGCTCTGTGTTCTCAAGAACACACTATTCCTCTTTTGCAAAATAAGAATGCATAAGTATGCAAGTGGTAGGAAGGATTTTGTTGGCTATTTGTTGTTCATCCAGTTGTCTTCTGATTGTGTGATTGGTTTTTGATGCAATTGGTCTCTGATACCAATGTTGCAACTCCCTTTGCCTTGTCTCTTGACTATTTAGGTAACAGTCTCTTTAAACCACTACATGAATAAATGTGTTTTCTTTAATAATCTTCACTTAGTTCTTCTCTTCCTTTTTCCACTGCCACCAACCTTCATTTGGCCCTATGTGTGTGTCCAGATTATAAATGAAAGACAAAGTCTCAGGATGTAGAAAATATAATGAAGCTCTTTATTCTGTATTTCTTTAAATGAGTCATTAAAAAGCTCTGGCTTAACACGTTTCAGCAAAGCCTTCTTCAGGAGCTAAGCCTAACACAAAACCCCACATTAGATATTGAATCATTCACATTTTCGTTTAAACACACACACATACACACACACACACACACATACACATACACACGGCTTGGGACTCTCAACTTTATATAAATACATGCATTTAGACATAATAAAATATATTAGACAGAATATCAAACACATACCATGCTTCTTTATACTTTCTGCACCTTTCTTTGGTTTATATCAGCTCCAAAACTAAGTGAAAGTGTTCAAAAGTGCAGGCACTTAAAAAAGAGGCATTTCTACACAGCTGTACAGGGTGGCAAGATAACCAGCCCATTAGTGTTATCATAATAAAGGGAGAAAGTCTATTTCTTCATTTAACCCATGAGGTACTAGGGTAATTTCAGGATCCAGTCAATTTCCCTTTTAGATAAAGGCCTTTCAAAATTTCCAGGAACTCTGTGAATGGCCCAGAACCCCAGATCTTTTATTGCATGGTTCATTTCTGTAAAATGGCCAACCAGAGAACTGCCTAGTTGTTTATTTCTTAAATTACAGTGGTGCCTCACTTTACGATTGCTCCGCATTACGACGAATCCACTTTATGACAATCTTTTTGCGATCGCAATTGAGATTGCAAAACGATGGTCTAAATGGGGGGATTTTGCTTTGCGATGATTAGTTCCCTTCTTCGGGAACCGATTCTTCACAAAGCGATGGTTTTTAAACAGCTGGTTGGCGGTTTCAAAATGGCCGCCGGGTAACTAAAATGGCTCCCCGCTGTGTTTAGGGACGGATTCCTCGCTATACAGGCAGCGGAAATGGCCGCCGTATGGAGGACCTTCGCTGGACGGTGAGTTTTTACCCCATTGGAACGCACTGAACGGGTTTCAATGCATTTCAATGGGGTTTTTTATTTCGCTTTA